AGAAGTAGAGAATGATGTTAAGAAGTTGTGCCACTTATGTTTTGGCCAAACACATTTCTAATATAGATAATGGAAGAGAGAGAAAAATTAAGGTAAAACAGAGATATAATGATAGATGGAGATGCAAGGAGTGACTAAAAAAGAATAATGTAAAATGAAAGACAAAGGAGATGAAAGAAGAGTTAGGATCCACTTACACTAAACTTTTACATACAAAATCTTTGATTATTCATCTCTCCATTATGAATAGTTGAGATTTATCCACTTTTTATCTTATTTTTTAAGATAATTGTTTTTTAAATAAAAAAAAGTTCATAATAAATTCTACAACACTTTATGTTTTGACAAGTGGAAAGGGTAAATGAAATAGTACTAGGAGAATAATACTAATGAGTTGCATCTTTTAAATTTTGTCGTAAAACTTCACTAATAAAATCATGTTGAAATAGAAAAAAATGTAAAAAATAAGATATAGAATGATAGATTGAGATACATAGAATGTCTAAGAAGGAATGATAGAGATGAGAACATAATAAAAAAGGATAATACGTAAGGTAGAGAATTAAATATAATGATATAAAATGTAAGGGTAGAAGTTGAAAGATGAGGTCTCAACAAAGTTTAGTGAGTGATAAACTAAAGATAAACAAAAAAGTTAAGTACCAAGAGAATAATGGTAATAAATCGTGCCTTGATATTCTGATTTTTAAACATTTCTAATATATATATAAAGGTAAAGCAAGGAAGACAAATGGCTTAAAAAAGATAAATGATAATAAAAAGATATATATGTACTAAATGATTAAGAAAGAATAATAAAGAAGAGAGGATAAGGAATAAAAAATAATAAAAAAATAAATTACTAATATAGAAAAGGATTTACAAATATATATACACACACCCACACCCACCAACACATGAAAATAATATGAGAGAGAAGGTGAAACGGATGCAAAAAAGTAATCAAAGTCCAAAATAAATTATGAGAGATACATTTATTAATTAAACTTGTATTAAAATGCATAACAATAACGTAAGTATATTGAAACATCTCTATCTTTAAATGCAAAAATATTGGAAGTTTAGTACTTAAATGTTAGAAACTTAATAGTTGAGGTCTTGTATTGTTAAGAGAAGTTTAGGGACTGATTTCAACAAGGTTTACAAAACAAATGGCTTGGTAGACTAATGACATTTAAACATAAACTTGGCATGTGAGTGCACAGTGAGAGAAGTGTAGTACAGTTACTAGAATGCATTAAAATCCCACTAACTTTGGTCAGAATTATTATGCTTTTAGAGAGGTATGACCAAAACAAATTCCATTTTTTCTTCTATTCTGGCACCAGATGAGCAAAATAGAAATAAAGGAGGAGTGTTGGCCTTGCAGCAAAGGCAGCTGGACATTTTGATGGAGATGCACCGGACTTGCAAGAGATTCTAAATCCTTCTTCAGCTCCACATTGTCCACAATCTCAAGTTAAAAGGAAGGGCTTAGAAATTTAAGCAAATAAGGATAAAAAAAGGAAGGCAAGTGGTATACAAAATTATTTTGCTCCAAGAACTATTGTTGAAGCTCAACCATCAATTAAAAGTGCCTTGGCAGGTAAAGATGCTATCCATAATGCTGATTTGGCCATTGCTAGATTCTTTTTTGATAGTTGTTTGCCCATAAATGCTATCAACTCCCCTTCCTTTCAACCTACACTTGATGCTATTGCTGCAATTGGCCCTGGTTATAAGGCACCAAGTTATCATGTCATGAGAAGCGAAGCAATCTATTGCATGATTTAAAACAAGAGGTTCAATTGTTGGTTAATTCTTATAGGAATATTTGGGTAGAAACTGGTTGTACTATTATGGGTGATGGTTGGCAAGATAAGAAAAATAGGCAATTAATTAATTTTCTTATCTATTGTCCTAGAGGAATTACCTTTGTGAAATCTAGTGATGACTTTGATGTTGTTAAAGATGCTACCATGCTTTGCAATTTGTTTAGGGGACTGGTTGAGTTTGTGGGTTCTAATAATGTTGTGCACTTAGTTACTGATAATGTAGCCAATTATAAAAAGGTTGGGAGATTGTTAAATGACATTTATCCTACAATCTTTTGGTCTCCTTGTGTTGCACATTGTTTGAACTTGATTTTGAGTGATATTGGAAAGTTGGAGGTTGTTAGTAATCTTACAAGTCATGCACCTTTGATTTCCAAATTTATATACAATCATCCTTTCTTGTTGATTTAGCTACGAAAAGGGGAAGGATGCACAGAAATTATACGTCTCAAGCTAACAGGTTTTGCAACAACATTCATTGCATTGAAAAGCATTCATGACCATAGGCATGATTTACAAGAATTGGTGACTACTCTAGAATTTAAAGAGTCTAGATACTACAAGGATCGTAAGGCAAATGATGTTGTGGCTGTTGTTCTAGATAAAAAATTTTGGAATAATTGTGAGCTTGTTGTGAAAATTATGGAGCCAGTTATTTGCTTGCTTAGAATTGTGGATGGTGATAAGAGGCCTTCACTTGGATATGTATATGATGGCATGTATAGAGCTAGAAAGGCCATTAACACTATATTGATGACTAGGAAGTCTTTGTATAAGCTTTATATAAAAATAACCAAGGAAAGGTGGGATAGGCAATTTCGTCAAAATGTTCATGTTGCTACCTATTACTTAAATCCTACTTTTTTCTATGATAAAGAGAATTTTTAAACTAAAAAAGAAGTCATGAAAGGTTTTATGGATGTTGTGGATGCAAAAGTGCCACCTCAGAGGTCTAAATTTTTGAATGAGTTTGAGTTGTATGATGAAAAAATAGAAAGCTTTGGTTGTGAAAGTACTCTTGAATCCTCAAAAACTATGAAACTTGGTAAGATTTCAAAATTTTAAGGTTTTT